ATATATATATATATATAGCATAAACAAACACAAGTCAGGACAAAATATATATTTTTAAATAAAATTAAAGTATGTTATTATGGATGATTTTTAGTATAGAATTTGGGTTTTTTGGTTCAAAGATGGCAACCCCCCTTTCCAAAAGGAGTACGTCCAGGGGCAAGGGGAAGGATTTCTGGTGGCAGAGGTCAGGGGCGGAACTTCTAGTCCCAAAATGGCAACCAGGGGGCGGGACACTTGTCAAGGGGCGAGGTCACCCTTGTGGCCCTCAACAGCTCGCTAAACTCGTTAAGTGGCCTTCCAGGCAAAATAATTGCCCAACCCTGGGCTAGAGGGAGGGAAAGGCAAGTGGAAAAACTGTTACATGGCTATTTAATACACGAGCTTTGCATTTCTAAGACAGAAAACAGTAATAACTTGTTTTTGTAAAGCTGTAGCAAGTTGCATCATAGGAAAAGGGAGGTTTTATGTTTTGGGTTTTTTTTACCTACGGTTGCTATGAAACTGCCTTGTGACTATGGTTAAGCACTATAAAATTAATCTGAATTATTCTATTTACACTACTTACAACAACACATTTTTCTGATAACATGTAATGTACATAGCTCTATTGTTTTACATGTATGCTCTGATTATTATGTCTTAAATATTTAATCTTTTCAGTTTTTTGGGTGGTTTTTATCCCTTGAAGCTGTATTCATTCTTGGACTAAATCAAAATCAAAACCCCAAAACCTATATTATGTGGGTAATATTATTCTTACAAGCAATTCCACTGAACTCAAAGTGGAATACAACTGAATAAAAATTAATCTTGGTAAGTGTCCTGAATGTTGCACTCCCAGACTGAACCTTAAAAAAAAAATCATAGCATATTCAGAAAATAGAAATGCTCATTTCTCAAGTACCTTTTATGTGCTTCCTGCTTACTGCGACATTCTTCACAGTAATATTTGTATTCACTGCACAGAGTTTCTGTATTGCTGAAACCCCTGAATATAAAAACAGAAATGAAAATGCAGGATGTGGAATTCATCCTTTGATTTTGAAATAAACTGATCTAAAAAAAAAAAACATTAAAACCCACACAATTTATTTTAATAACAATATAGAACAATATGCAGGCACATTAAGCATCTGACATCAATGTAACTGCAGCTATTAGTTTCTCACATTTTCATCTTGATGAATTCAGTAGTTAACATATGAAATAAGGTCATAAATAAAAAAAGGCAGTATCAGATACTTTTGCATGTACCTTAAACAGTGAGTAATTGATGTATTCTGTTCCACATCAACAGAAAGGTCTAAAAAATCTTCATCTTTGCTGCTTACCTGCAGAGAAAGACCAACTCTTCAATAAACTATAGTTAAGTTTAATTAATGACTAATCTCACAATTACTGAGCAATACTTTTGACTCAGACTACATCTTTCACGTTCACCTAATACAAACAAGTTCAGAATGATGGCACTTATATTTTAAGAAGCTTTCTCTGGAGTCAGGAGGAAAGGGAAAAGGACATTACAGTGCCACTTGCAAATTTGCTTTGTGTATGTTTTCTTACAGATAGCACTGATGCTGGGTTCCTCTTACCCTTACAAGCAGAATGACGATCAGCCACAAACTAGGACTGCCTTTCCAGTGCTCCCACTACTACTCTTCCACTGAGATTCTTTCCTATTTGAAAAAACGTGCTAACCTGCTACACATCTCAAATTAAGAAGGTAAATCCCTGAAAACTTGGCTTAGAAAGGCTGATAGGGCTGGACTTTTCAATGTCTCAAATGATCAAGAGAAAGCAAGTTATTTGATAAATGGGAATATGATTTCCTTCTCTGCGACTCCGTTTATGGACAATCTATGAATCCACAGCAATTTTTTGTGAGAAAATACAACACAATACAAAGTACTCAAAAACCAAAGAAGAAAAGGAGATCTGAGGACAAATCATGTCATATCCACAAATGTTTGTAAATTTAGTCAACTGCGCCTAGTAAAAGAGTCTAAGTATACAATGGTATAGTTGACAGGTTTGTCTACTGATGTCTCCAGTGGAGATCATTTATTGTCACTAGAAAAGAAATTTATGTCTTGTAAGACTCCTGGATCTTGGCCCTAACACAGTTAGACAAAACACCTGGCTTTTTCCCTTGTAAGATGAGGGAAGATGATACGTGCTCCTGAAAATACTTTAAGCACATCTTTAAAGGCCAGGAGAGTTCTAATGTGACATTATCTCAGTCCTATACCAGAAAGGGAACAGAAACTTGAAAAATGGCATAATGGTCCTTCCTGCCAAGAGAAAGAAATTTTGACAAAAGGAAAGGCAATGGCAGAAGATTATCTTGTCGTTAGAAAACAGCAAAGAGAACTAAGGAAAGTGAAGAGTTCCAATTCTTCTGGCTAAGGTAGTTGCTGCCCAGAACTACCTTCAGAAGCACAGTCCTAAACTTATCAAATGCAGAGCACTAAGGAGAGGACTGCACTCAGTGGGTTATCTGCAGAAGAAAAATCTACCACTTTGCTGGAACTGTGCCTACAGGCAATAAAATCTTAACTCTACAGCACTTCTACAAGACTATTTAAGAAGCTGAAATGCAAAGGCTTTAATGCTAAAGGGGTCTTAAGAGTTTCTGTTTAAAAGAGAAGTTTGTCTATCATATAAAGATATGATGCCCTCTCCAATACCCACTCCTGGTCCCTCTCCCCACTCTCCCCCACCTCCCAAAGAATTCATTCACTTTCACCTTTTTCTGAGTGTGGCATGTTACGGACACCTGGAAATGAACAAGTCCTTCAGGGCTGCCTTGTTGCAAATCACTTCAAGAGTTGATATGTTTGAGTCTGGGGATTTACTAGGCCCATTGGCAATGTGTCAGGGGCTGTACTGATTTGTGCACTGATAGTAGGGCACGGAGCTGCAGCCTAGCTGATGCCAGGGCCTGGCAGCAGCAGGGACAGTGGCAATGATGCGATTTTTGCACTAACCACAGGGTGCAGGGCTGCAGCCAGAAACCGGCAGTAGTGGGGGCAGCAGTGGTGCAGTTGTGGCTCCCTACTGTCAACACTTACATGTGGGCAATGGCCAGGCCTGGCTGAAGATGTTCTCAGCATAAGATCAGAGTCATTTACAACACCTCGGGAAGCCTCAGCAGATCTGAGCAACTCCTTGCCTTTGCCAGTGTGAAGTAATTAGGAATAAAAAACTATGATGACGACTGTTTTTCAGGCACTCCACGAAACCGGGAAAGGAAGAAAAATGTATGAGCCAAGGAAAGTTCCATGGCGTAGTAAACATGCCCTAAGAAAGGTTTGCTGGGGCCAGAAAATTGTTATAAAACAATAATGGAAGTTGGCAGCAAAATTTATTGGCAAAAGTTCATAACAGGGATTCTTCAGCTCCTGGGAATCTCCTGGTAGATTTCTTTCTGTAAGGACATCCCTCAGTAAAGCAGGTTCACTGACTATTTAAGGTGACCACAAATAAATAAATAAAAGCAGATCTTATTAAAAAGGAGTACTGCAAGAGCAGAGTGGGGTTTTTCTTTCCATGCTGGCAGTTCAAGTACATAAAGTAAGGCACAGCAATAGTTAAGAGGATATACCTTCTCAGAGTTAGGTTTATGAACATCAAAAATGGTAATTCAATTGCCTGCATCTTAAGGAGGCTTTTACGAAGCTTTCTTTCTGTTGGAGGCCACATTTTCTGTGCTGAGCAGATACACATATTCTGGCCTGAACCTAAGGAGAAGAGGATGGATAAAATCAGGGAAGCTCATCTCTTGCAAAAGCAAATACTGAAGTGTATGGAAAGTCAGGTGAGCATCATGACTCACTATAAGACACCTGTGAATAATAGCGAAGGCAAGGAGGATGGGAAAAGACTTTCCCAACAGATATCCACAAGATCTTGACTGTCTTACACCAGATGTGGTCAAATTTCATAGTTCAGAAAACCAAGGAGAACATTCATTAAAATTAAGTGTCAGCACAGAGATTTCCTCATCACTGTAGGTTACCTTTTCGACCTTTTAGGGAAGTTGAATGGCTGGATTTATTAATTATGGGTTTTACTGAAATAAACCAGTAAGGCACAAAAGCACTCCTGAAAGACATAGTTCAGTAGGACTTTTTAAAGCCTTCCCCCAGAGACAAATGGTAGCCAGACAGTCAAGGAAAAAAACACAGCCATGGAAGTTGTTTCTCTGCATGTTACTCTCAATCAAGCAGAAATCAAATGAGACACACACAGGATGCAACAACAAAACACAGGAAGATGCTGGATGGGAATCCTACCTGTTAAGAGCAAGAAAGGAGGAAGAACCCTGTCTTCCTACTATTAAGTTAGTTATGTAATGAGGATATCAGGATAAGATCTGGAGTATAAAGGGTCACCCAAGCTGCACACATGATTTGCCTATCAGGCCACTGGCTATTAAGTTGGCTACTATTTTGGTGCTAGAGGAAGTCACACTACACTATAGGGAATTGAATCTAGGGGTCTTGCAGTCCTAGCTCACAACCCCACCTACTGGACCCTCTTTCTTTTCACCATATTTACCCTTTCAACACATCCTGCAAAAGAGGGAAGTATTATCCTTTGTCCCACTTTACAAAAGTGGAACTAGGATATAGAACAATTACACATCTTGCACAAAATTACACACATGAGCAGTGGCAATGGTATAAATTGATGTCTTGACTCCTGAAGTGTATGGAAAGCTAGGTGAGCATCCAAATTCATTGTAGGATGTCTGTGCCTCGGCCTAACACCTTAGGTCACAAGATCATACTTTTTAAAACCGTTCACTTGGCTACACATATGTAGTTAAGACCATATGATGCTTTTGTCACTGCTCTACCTTTAAGACTTGAGGAAAGATCCAGGAGGCAATTAGTATGACTTATTCTCCAATAGCTACAAATTCACAACCTGTACACATGTAGCCCCAGCCTCCCTGCCTTCCTAGTCTCTCTCAAAAAAAGAAGAAAAAAAAGCAGAGCAACCTGAAAAAGAAAATAATGCTAGCTACTAACTCTGGAGTTCTTTATAATCTATGAAATTCTGTTCTATGAGTGATAACATTTTATGCTACAGTGTAGCAGTTTTAGTCTCACCAGCCAAATGAATTCATAGATTTCACAGACATTAGGGCTGGAAGGGAGCTCAGAAGATCGAGTCCAGCCCCCAGCCTGAAGGCAGGAAGTCAGCTGGGGTCATAGGATCCCAGCAAGATAAGCATCCAATTTGTTCTTGAAGGTGTTCAATGTAGGTGCTTGAACCACCTCCAATGGCAGGCTGTTCCAGACCTTGGGGGCTTGGACAGTAAAGAAATTTTTCCTTATGTCCAGGCTGAAACGGTTTTGTAGTAGTTTATGACCATTTGACCTTGTCATCCCTTGGGGCACTTTGGTGAACAAACGTTCCCCCAGATACTAGTGGTCACCCCGATAAACTTATAGGTGGCCATCAGATCACCCCTGAGCCTGCGCCTTTCCAGGCTAAAGAGCCCCATAGATCTCAGCCTGTTGTCGTAAGGTCTGTTTTCCCGACCTCTGATCATGCACGTGGCT